GCATTTTACCCATGGTGAAATCTACCCCCTCTGAACCCCGCGTATACCACCTTTTCTCCCCTACAAGGCATTCTACCCTTGGTGAATTCTACCCCCTCTGAACACCGCGTATACCACCCTTTCTCCCCTACAAGGCATTTTACCCATGGTGAATTCTACCGGCGGCACATTCAATACAATACTGCAACGTTTCTATTCGCATATAACACCGGAAATTTATATTTGAAGGGGTGTTATATTTGACGAGTGAGAAAAAAGGAGTCTTTTTTTGTAAGGGGAAAATGAATCTCATGCCTAGGCATTGTTTCCGAGTGAAGACGGAGGATGATCTCAGAGGCAGTCCACAGCAGAAAGGTCCCTCTCCCCCCCCTCTCCCCCCCCCCCAAAGGTAGCTGTAGAGCATAACTACTGTCTTCACCCGAATAGAACGCCCGGTCAAAATAGCTGTATTTGGGCCAACTTCCAGCCCGATGCATTGATGATAATGACCAGGCGTTCTATTCGGGTGAAGACAGTAGGGCTCAGATGTCTATGAAAGTCTAGGCATGGCGCTGGTCCAGACTCCATACCAATGTTTGCAACAAATTTTGCTTTTTTTGAAACTGCGAAAACAGCAGCCAGTAGTTCGACAAAGCCATTTATTTTATTGGTGAAAGGTAGGGAAACAACTGATTTGACAAAATTTTCCACAGAGGTGGTTGTTTTCCACGAACCACAAGGTTATAGGTACTTATCTTTTTTTTTTTTTTTAACTTTATATCTAATCTTTGGTGCAATTGCTGAGAGTAATTGGCACATGCTGCTCTGTACTAATTCGCATGTAATCAGCACAGCCAGGAAAATTGAGGAAATGGAATTCTTGGTGGACATCATCAACACAATGCAAAGCAGCAGAAGACCGAAAATGAACAGACTCATCAGACTCGTGACTCCACACACACATACAGTGTCATCATGTGGAGATACATTGAGGGAGGCATAGATGAAAGGCTACTCCTTGCAGAACACACACGAAAAGACGATTCACATATGACGGAGGTGGGAGAACGAGATGACGTGTGGGGGGAAGAGAGTGACACTCAAGTGTGCCACCTGAATACTAATAGTCTCTCTCCAAGTTCAGCAATGGCCACCTGATACGATGTCAAGTAGGAATCTGGGGGCCAAGCCTCCCTGGAATAGTCACAAAGTAGGGCAGGCATATGGAGAGGTAGAAAAATAGAAGAAAATAATAATAATAATAATAAGAAGAAGAAGAAGAAGAATAAGAATAAGAAGAAGAAGAAGAAGAAAGAGATGAATTCTCATCTCTTTTCCCTTGTGTCTTAGATACTGACCAGTCAAGATGATGTTTGTACTGCAGCAGGTTGTGAACTCAAGGCCGGCCTGTGCCGGTAGCAATCTCCTTGCGATAGCTCTCTGCAACGGTGCTCTCAGCAGCCGGTTGGCCAAGTGTTGAGGCCAACCTTTCCTATACACCGCTTGGGCGCCCTAGGGCCGTTTGATCAGATCACGATCGGATGGCCTGTGAAGGAGGCTGTGCCCTGCCTAGGTACCAGGCCCAAAAACGAGTGGCTTGGCTCCCTACCCAAGTCCCCCCAGGTCCTCTCTTGCTGTCTCGGCAACAGGGCGGGCCTGGCATAAACAGGCCCAACCAGGCCCAACCGCAAGTGGGCAAGCTGGGCCAACACATGAAATGTTATGTGCCTGAGGTCCGAACAGGACAAACCTATGCCTGTTTTTTTGTTTTGTTTGGTCGAACGTCTGGATCAGATTTAAACCACCGCTACCTATCGGTTGGGCGGCTGTTAACGTGGTAGCCGAATCGGCCTACCCCTCTGGTCCAAATTCATTTGAGGGTGGGGGTTACGAAAAATGCAGTAGGTACTGGTGTTTTAAACCACTACTCTACCCGACGTTGTGAAAGTTGTGGGACCGGTAGCACATGTTCATGAGGGCTACCGGTAGCATAGTGTGGAGACCCGGCAGAGGCCCCAAAAAATCTGCCCAAAATGAAAAATCTGACAAATTGCTGCCGCTAATTATTTGAAGTTATTTCGTGGTCAAAATTATTTATTTTTATTTTTTTTAATATTTTTCCTTGAAAGATCACAACCAAATCTACGAACCCTCCAATTTTCAGATTTGTTTATGAATTATTCTGAGCGTGAAAAATCGCTGAAATTGGGGTATGTTTCCCGTTGGCCCACAAGTAGTAGAGTGGCAAAAATCAAGAATGAGACAAATTGACACGACATTTATTTCACCGACTATTTCTTTTAAATAATTTTTAAAATATTTTTCGTGGAAAGATCACAACCAAATCTACAGACTCTTCAATTTTCAGAGTTTTCAAGGCATACTTCGGAGCGCGAAAAATCACAGAAGTTAGGGTACTTTTTCCTTTGGCCCACACGCTGGAGTGGCAAAAATGAGAAATGTGACGAATTTGTGCGGCATTTATTTCATGGTCTTTCGGATATTTTTCCCGTAAAGATCACGACCTAATCTACAGGATCTCAAATTTTCAGATTTTTTTCCTTATTTTTCTAAACGCAAAGAATCGCCAAAGTCGGCGAGTGAAAAATGCGGGACTGGACCTGCCTGCGCCTCCCGGTCAACGCCCCTCCTAAAGACCCGCTCCGAGCTCACCGGAATGCCACTTTTTCGGTGGCGGGTAGAGTGGTGGTTTAAACTTAGATCAGGATGAACAAACTTGCAGAAAGAAAACCACACTAAGTATACTCACACTATCTTCTTCACCCGAATACAACGTTGTGACGAACTGTTTTCTGCAACCACGCGATTTTCTGCGCAAGGCTACTTCGGGGGTTGAATCGGGAGGGCCCGCGGGATTACATGGGTGCCCTTGCTTTTCTTGTTTTTTGGAATCGAGGCCGGGGTGATCTTGGGACGGCCGGTAGCTGGTCGCGCCTTAGCGAGCGTGAAAGATAACTGTTGCCATAGCTTCTTTCTTGTTCTGCTGTGGGAAATGGGAATTTTGGCGCGGTCGTTGCGCGGGAAAATCTTTTTGAATTTTCAACTGAGGTTGAGCCCCCGTGGGCTCTCGAAATTTGCTTCGCTCGATATTTCATTTTGCAATTAGGATTTAGATTAGGAATTGAGGCGCGTCTCAATTTTTGTTGCACGACGCTTCTTGCTTGCGCACGCTTTGCCGCGTCAGGATCTATGTTTTGACTTTTTCCGTGCCTTAATCCTTGCATGTAACTGTAACCTTTGTTTTGGAGGGCATAATTGTAACTGTAATTCTCCTCTTCTTGATATCTTTTGTGGCGTCCCTGTGCGCGCGTACTTCTTCCTCTGTCCTATTGGCCTGAACGCTTGCATGATTGGATCGATGTGTGGAGTGAGGCTATGTCCCCCACACCGCGGCCTGGCCATGCAGACGCAGGCACTTCCTTCCTCCTGTTTCCACGTAGGCACAACCCCGGGTCTCTCGTGCAAGCATGCATGCTATAAATTTCGCAAGTGCGATTAACTCGCTCTCTAAGAATTCTGGGAGTTAGCGCAGTTGAGAGAATCGGCTAATGAGCGAGATTTGGACGGTGAGTAGAGAGTTGGGCGATCCGACGAGCTGGTGCTGGGCATGCGGGGTTGACGTGGGGCCGCGACGGACTGTGGCACACGGGCGAACCTGGCTGGCATGTTCGCACTAAGCGGGGTGACAACTCTGTGTGGGTGCGAGGCGACGGACTGCCCGCATCGGGATGTTGTGAAGAGAGAGAGAGAGAGAGAGAGAGAGAGAGAGAGAGAGAGAGAGAGAGGAAGTGTTGTGGCGATGTTTCTCTTCCATCCTTTTGAGCAATTTTGGTACCCGGCGCTAGTCGCCTTGTCCTTCTTGTTGATCGGCATCTCGGATTTTTCGTTTTCCTGGCTTCCTTTCTTTGGAGACTGACATGTGGATTGTTTTTCCCCACTCCCCGTCTCTGTCTATTTGAATCGGCAAATTTGATTGATTGGTTCCCGGCGATCGCGCCTTGTGTGATCTCTGGGCTGATTGGCCAAAGAATTGTTGTATGATCCTCGATTCTTTCTGTTTGTACGTAAGCTAGATGCATGGATGATAGGCGTGATTCTGTCTGTGTGTGAATTGGATAGGCATGCTAGACTATTAGATGACCGTCTCACTATGGGATGATCCATCTCGTGAATCGCTGGCTTTCACCCATCTGATCAAGGACAGGT